GCTTCAGACACGCCCAGCTTCAAGATTTTTTGATGCCTGTAGTGTAGACGGGCCGTAAGTTATCTTGCCAAATAGTGAGCCTGTGTTGATGTATGAAAACTATGTTTGAACTGGTTTATAAATGGTTATTAATGATTAATAAAGTGTTTAAAACCTAATTAATAACCTAATTATAAACCCTTTATGAATCCTTTATAAGGGTAGTCTTATTGTAAAGTGGTACCGGTAAGGGATATTCAGCTAAATCTGTACCTCCAATTTCCCACCTCAAGTCATAGGCGAAAAGGTTAATGAGTTCAGATAACTTGAAAAAATTGATAAAAACAATAAAGTGATCAACTAAGTAAAATGAAACTGTGTAATAATTATATAATAAATAGGTGCTGACAGTAATGTTATTTAAAATAACAACAGTTATCTTGTCACAGTTCAATTATAATTGAAAGTGTAAATGTATTATTTACTCTTGTTATTACAATGTTCTCCCCACAAAGCATCCAGTATTTTTCTTTAAATGCCAATCTCTTGCTTAGTGGAACTGTATTTTATAACCCCCAATCCTTGTCAACATGCTCCTGCAGTTTTTATATACTGTATAAATTGATATTTCAATAAATAAGGCTTAATGATAGCGGAAAACTGAACAGTATTAACAAACATCCAACCCACACAAATTACACTTACTGTCAGACCAGGTTGGGCATACTTTATGACCACCACCCTGGATGGTAATGGCAAATCAAGAGGAAAAATATGTAAATTTCATGGCCTAATTTATTATGTTTTGTGGTCAACATGTCAGTAATATACCATACAAATTCTCACTTAAATAGATACATGAATTATTCAGATTTAACACAAGCAAATAAGCAAGTGTTATTAAATCTCTCCATACAAATGGGAAATGTATAAGTTTAAATATTAATAGTTGCTACAGGAAACATGCATCTTTCATCCTCCAATTATGTCAACCTTGAATGTTTCATTTGAAATCTCTATTATTATGTTGACTTTATATTTCAGGCTCTTCACACAAACGGTCAACAATAATGAGGCAATAACATTTGGGATGATGGCCGTTTATAATTCATTGCAATTTAAGCTTTCTATCAAAGTCGAGTTGGGAGTTTGGCTCGGGTATCTCTTCTGACATTTACAACATGTGGGAGCACCTGCAGACTCAAACTGTCAAGATGAGACTAATTACTGTTTTTGTTGAACAGAATGATTTCCATAAAATGTTTGTGTTCAACGTCCTGTCATGCAGTGCCAGTGCTCTTAATAAATATTAATTTACTAATGGACTTGTAAAAATAATTACCCAAACCTGTCTGAGGATGTTAGCATCACAGGTTGTCCTTTCAAATAACCAAATCATTAACTTGCTGCTTCATTTTATTTTCCTGTTTGTCAACCCGGAGTTCCACTGCTTTCCTCTCTTTATTTCATTTAGTGTTAATTTGCTTTCACTCATTACACTTCATCTGATCTCTTTACTCCTTCCTATTTCAAACAACACTAATGTCTCCACCATTTAACATAATCTAAACTTCTTCCGTTCTTGGAAGTCCCACAACTTCCATTGATCCTACACAAATAACTCCAATTGTTGTAACCATTCAATTGACTTTCAGTTTAATCCATTTTAACTGACATTCTGTCTTAATTTTTTCCTTTACTTAGTCAACATAGAATCCTTTCCGTGCCGTTCCCTCAACTGATACTTCAGGTTCACTCAACACTTAGACTTAAACTGACACTTCACCTTTATTCATTTTCTCAGACTTAAACTCTAACTTTTCTTAGCACTGGCTTTTTTCAAAGATGTGTTTTGGTCCAAAAAGTGCTTTTATAAGGGGAGAGACAGAGAGTAGGACATATAGCTCAATAAGATGCTATCAATGTACTGGTTTGGGGGGGGGATTTCAACAACTTTGAGTAGTTTAGTGGGAATGCTGACACAGCATTCCAACTATCTGTTATGCTACGCACAAAATTCTTTATTATTCCGCCGGGTTATTTTGCACCTCTTCTTCTCCCACATTCCACATCGCAGAAACTCAGTTCGAACATCAAAACGTTCAGCTTGGTCGGAAATCAATGGCTATTACTATTCTTATTCATAACTTTCATAATTCCAGAGATACATCCCATAATTCATCACATTTTTAAACATGGAAGTCAATGG